ATGTAGAGGGGGACCTGATCTAATAGACACAATATAGTAAGCACGCTAAATGAGCATTTGATAAATATTCTGACAACTATCAAAAGTGGTTTTTAATATTTTTCAAGGATAGGTTATTTTAAGGGACATGTATTGTTTTACCAAAAATAAAAAAGGGATAGGTGTCAAAAAAAGAACATTTATAAGTGCTCATTAAATGTGCTAACAACATTATGCTTACCTGATTGGAACTAATTAAGAGGATGGGTTGTGTAGCCCCATGAAGCGAAAAAGAATAAAATAAACCACATGGACACAAACAAAGCTTGAATCCATAAAGGCTTAAAAAAATGTGTGAGTGAGCCCATAAAGTGGATCAAAATCAAACCAAGTGTTTTATCCTTTTTAACGCGTTTCTTTGTGTTAAGACTTCATGTGAACCGCCAGATCCCTGTACAAATACATAATTGGATCAAACCAGCATTGAAGCTTCTAAACATTAAGGCTATGTTTGATGACCTTATAAGGTAGGGAAACCTACCTTTACAAACCTTGAAGTCTGATGACAATCAATTAATTTCTTGATTGCTTTCATTGATCTCTTCAATGGTATTTGATGGTGCRCGATCTAGATGCTTCTAACTAGAGGGTAGCTCGAACGTCGATTGCCTAGCTAGCTAGTCGAACTACAAGAAAGGAATGCTCAGAGAACCCGGGGTGGTTGTTCCGATGTTTACGTTAGTATCTTAATGTGTGTGAGCTGAAAGCTTGAGAGTAAGTAGGCTAGTGAGCAAATAATCGTGTGTACCTTGTATTGCTGGGGTCGATGCCCTTATATAGATGAGATGTGTGTCTCACAAATACCTCTGAGATCTCTGTGTGTGCTGTTAGGAATCCGTTTAACACCAGGAGGTAGACTTCACTCTAGTTGTTAAGGATTATCGAGTCCGTCCGATCCGGGGGGGATGAGGATAAGACCTAAAGACGTGCGACATGATGCCATGAAGCTCGGAGACAGGTAGGTAGTTTCTAGAGGTTGGCTACGTGTCCCTTTGGCGGGTTGGGCTACCACGAGCTACTCGGCCCTCGGTCTTGGCCGAGGTACCTGAGGTAACTCGAGGTGGCCTGGCCTACTGAGGTGGCACTGAGTGCCAAGTAGTTATCCAATCAACAGGTCACCTCCACATGTCCATGTGTGAATTGGTCGGGCCAAATCACCCCTCATCATTATCCACTTTCTAATTCAATACAGCAAAAATGATCCAAGTCTCCGTAGCTTCGCCTAAATCTCATACCTGTGAAATATAAATAAACAACTAGAATGAGATTAGACAACTGGAACAAGTCATGCAATTTGTATATTATTTCTTAAACGTCACTGAGAGATCAATATATATAATGTTAATGGTCTAATGGCGGATTTGCCCTCATGTTGTTATTACTTTTAGTTCTTAATTAATTTGAAGTTGTAAACTAAAACTGCAGTGGAAACAGACAAGATAGAAGCTAGAAGCATCAGATTTTCAAGTTAGGTGAGGCAAAGATACATAACTACCTTGAAAGTAAGCTTCAAGAGAGAATGGAGAAGAGAAAAAACATATTTTGGTGGAACCCAACTATCTCTTTTCTCCTTTCTTCTCCTTTCTTCTCACCCAACTATCTCTTTCCTTTCCTCTTCGTGTGCCACTCAATTAAGTTCTATCTAAAGTGGTTCCAATTTATGCATAGGTTTGATAAGAGTCCAAAATGTACGAACAAGACAATATAATGGCGCCAATTAAGATAAATGAACTGAAAACAAGAAAATAATTTGGGATCAAGAATAATTTTGATGGTGCTAAATACCATCAGACGTATGGTATTTATAGATGAGTTGTTTACACTGAAATGGAGATCTACAAGGACTGGGATAGTGTACAGATAAGAAGATAATCATAGAGTGGGATAGTTACAATAGGATTAGGATAGAGATTATCCTAAGTAGCAGATAGGGATTACCCTAGGTGGATAGATCTAAATCTCCACAGGACTCTTGATTCCCATTATCCTTAACATGCCCCCATAAGCGAAATGGCTTTGTGAAGACATGCAGCTTGGACTGAAGATGAAGAAACCGTGGTGTTGGAAGAGCCTTAGTCATGATGTCGGCTATCTGGTCTTTGGAGGAGATGAATTTCACCAGTAGTTTCTGTTTGAGAATTAAATCTCTCAAGAAATGAAAAATTGACCTCTATATGTGTTTAGTGCATGCCTGGAACACCGGGTGTAAAGCTAGGTGTGTAGCAYCCACATTGTCGCACCAAGTAACTAGAGATGATGTGGATGAAAAACCCAGATCTGCAAGGAGGGACTAGATCCATATGAGTTTTGTCACCGAATCTGCAAGAGCTCGAATTTCTGCCTCTGTACTAGAACGAGCTACTATTGCTTGTTTCTTGGCACTCCACGCAATGAGATCGTTTCCAAAATATACACAATAGCCACCTGTGGATTTACGATCATCAGGGCATCCAGCCCAATTTGCATCACTAAACGCATGAAGCTGAAGAGAACTGGATTTGGTGAAATGGAGACCAACATCCAACGTGCCCTTTAAATAACMAAGAATCCGTTTGACAGCAGCCCAATGAGCATCTGTGGGAGCATGAAGAAATCTGCAAACCTTATTGACCGAGTAGGCTATATCTGGTCGAGTGATGGTCATGTACTGGAGGGCACCCACAATACTTCTATATTTAGATTGGTCCAGTAGAGCTACACCCTGGAGGGAAGACAATTTGCATGATGAAGCCATGGAAGTGGAGTAAGCTTCTATACCCAAGAACAAGTGTAGATTACCCAAGTCCTTTAGTGCAAAGGTCTCCGAGAGTGAGGAGATGATGCATGGGACAGCATGAGGAGAGGATCTAGTGATTAAGATGTCATCAACATAAACCAAAATAAATATGGAGACCTTACCTTGCCTGTATAGGAATAAGGATGGGTTATCCTGGGAGCATTGAAAATCAAGACTGAGGAGAGCAGAACTCAGGCGAGAAACCAAGCTCGTGGAGCTTGCTGTATAGTTCTTTGCGTAGTTTGTAGACATGAGTGGGCTTCGAAGGATCTTCAAATCCCTTGGGTTGTCGTACATAGATGTCCTCAGAAACAAATCCATTCAGGAAGGCATTGTTAATATAGAGCTGTCGGATATTCCACCCAAAGGATATGACCAAGGCAATGACTATACGGACTATAACGGGTTTAACCATGGGATTGAAAGTATTAGAAAAGTCAAGACCTGGTACTTGGCTGAATCCCTGTGCCACCAGGCAAGCTTTGTGACATTCAATAGGGCCTTCGGATTTACGTTTGATTTTGTAAATCCATTTTGTTCTAATTACATTCATACTGGGATGGTACGGAACAAGATCCTAAGTGTTATTGTCCATGCGGGCACGGTATTCTTATTGCATAGCGTGTTGCCAGTGTGGATGCTTGGCCGCACTAGAATAAGTGGCCGGTTCACATTGCTTTGGTGTGATGTCAACAAGAAGGGCAACCGGAATAGGATACCTGGTGGTAGTTGTCATAAGGGATGCTGTGGAGCTCATCGATCTAGTGACCATGGTATGAGTTCTCTGTGGAGGTGGATGATGAGACCAAAAAGAATCATATTTTTATCCTCTAATATTCACTCTTTTATATTTATTTAGCACTTAAATGGATTCATTACTCTTGTATTTCGATTCAGGGATATAAAGAAGGCAATTGGAAGAAAACAGGGCAAATCAGGTGATTTTGCACAGTTTCGGCAACAGTCAGTAATCTCGGCCCAACTCTCAATTCCGGACTCTGAATTGGACAATTCAAGAAGCATTAAAAAGATGAAAGGAAGATCCACAACTTTTGTGTTCTGGGTTTTGACAGATTTGGCCCGCATCAAGTATGAAAATGAGCTGAAGTCGGAGTAAGTTCGTAGCCAGGCCCATTTCACAACTTAAGCCCAACTCGCAGAGGTAGCTTGAAGTAGCCCAAGTTTTAAAGCAGCCCAACTCGAATTCAAGAGTCAAGAGTCCAAATCTCGAATGTAATCTCCAAAGAGAGAGTCTTATCAGATCTAAAGAGCCCAACTCGAATTCAAGAGTCAAGAGTCCAAATCTCGAATGTAATCTCCAAAGAGAGAGTCTTATTAGATCTAAATTCTTGAATGTAATCCAAGAGAGATAAGAAGATTAAAATTAGATCATTAGGTAAGAGATAGGATAGGATTAGTTCAAAGAAGATCAAGACTCCCTAAAGATAAGATGATCTCCTAGAAGGAGTTGGAAAAT